ACTAATTATTTAAAACAAAACTATATTATTATTTTCTTAATATTTTTCAAGCTTTAAAATAGCTACTAAATATTAATAAAACTATTTTTTGTAATTTTCGTTTTTTTATATAAAGATAAAATATAAAGTAATATTTTTGCATTTTTTCCAAATTAAAATGACTACAAAACCTTAATAGAATTATATTTTTTTGTAATTTTCGAAATTATATAAAGTACAAAAATAAAGTGCAATTTTTGTATTTTTTCAAGTTTATGAGAGATACATAAACTAAAATTTATATATATATTTTTTGTAATTTTTCTTTTTGCAACGAAATAAAGTAAAAATAGTTAAAATAGCTATACTAGACCCAATTTCACATATTCACGCTAAAAATGTGAAAATTCTCGGGGAGGGTCAAAAATCTGGTGTCTACAGTCATATCTCTGAACCTCCTAGTGCGGCCGCGGTCACTGTTGTGCGGTCCACACTAGGCCCTTTCTTCTTCAATTCTCTTGGTCTTTGATACTTGAGCAGGTTTCACTCCTTTTTGAGCCGATCTTTGACATTTCGTCACTTTGTCGATCAAACCTGCAATCAAGCACAACTTGTGAGAATTTTAGGACTATTTTGTAGCAATTTATATTCAAAGCATAGGCAAGAAGGGGCATAAACACGTTCAAATCCTAACTTATCATATAACAGGAGTTGAACATCAGACTTGCTCAACAGAATAGGCCACAGGTGTATGTCATAGTCATTAGAGTGGGTATCCACATCTGATAGGTTTCTATTTTATAGTTTTCTTGTTAGGAATCATCTCTTTCCTTTGTCCTTTACTCTGTTCCTTTTGTCTTGGTTACTTCCTCTTCCTGAGTCTGTTTGGTCAAAATAAGTGAGAAATGACTTCAAAATTTGCCACCAGCTTTCCAATTGCACAAAACGGGATCTGGCCAGCACATCAAAGTGGCATAAGTTAGGAAAGAACAACGCGTGCACTAAGTTGGTAACAATCAATATGCTTTGGGATTTATGTGAAATACAAAGGTTTGGTATATATCAATTCATGAACAATGCAACAAATGGAGGGTGTAGGGTGAACGGATCAAAGGTATTTTCTGTGATAAGATTGACAAAGAAAGTGGTTAACCAGTGACAAGCAAGGTCTTCCAAGCAGAAATCAAAGTTATCATGGCAAGTGAAGGAGCAATAGACCTCAAGGCCAAGGCCAGTGGTTTAAGTTAAGAAAGAACAGCATATGCACTGAGTGGGTGGCAATTGACATGCTTTTGGATTCATGTGAGACACAAAGGTTTGGTAAATGTCTGTTCATGAGCAATGCAACAGATAGAGGGTATTGGGTCTGAACGGAGAAGAGGTATTTTCTGTGATAAGGATGACAGAAAAAGTGGTTAGCAAGGTCTTCGAGTGGAAGTCAAAGTTATCATGGAAAATGGAGGAGCAATCGCCCTCAAAGTCAAGGCCACAAACCAACTACCACATTTTAAACTGACAAGATTTTTCTTTGATTGAAACAGGGGCAGAAAATTTTGTTTGTTTCGGAGAAACCCTCTGTAAGGAAAAGCAAGCACCAGATAGGTTTGACCGTAAATTTTTAGGACCCTCTTGGAAAATGGGACCTAGTTTAAAATTCAAAACAATCATGAGTAGCATAATCTAGCATAAATGTACCCCAAAGGAATATAAGTTGGCTTCAAAGTTTGCATGTTTAAGATAGGATTCAATTAGGAGTTTTCAGGACCCTCCTGGATAATGGGATGTAGTTTTAAAACTTGCTTGGATAACAAGACTTAGCATAAGACATACCTTCAGAAGACATAATTTAGCTTTAAAATTGTCATTTAAATAGGAGTTGTCAGGACCCTCCTGGATAACGGGATCTAGCTTTTAAATTCTTGATAATGTTTGGTAACATGATTCAGTTTAACACTCACAGATGTACCCAGCTACCAAACTGGGGCAGAAAATTTTCTTTTTTTGTCTATTTTTGTTGAAATCAGGCACCCACTTGGAGAACAGGGAGAAGCAGTTCGAGTTCAGCAATCAAGCGCCCACCTGGAGAGCACGGGAATACAATTCAAGTTCAGCAATCAGGCGCCCACCTGGAGAGCACGGGAATACAATTCAAGTTCAGTAGTCAGGCACCCATATGGAGAGCACGGGAATACAATTCAAGTTCAGTAGTCAGGCGCTCACCTAGAGAGCACGGGAATACAGTTCAAGTTCAGCAATCAGGCGCCCACCTGGAGAGCACGGGAATATAGTTCAAGTTCAGCAGTCAGGTGCCCACCTGGAGAGCATGGGAATACAGTTCAAGTTCAGCAATCACGCACCCACCTGGAGAGCACGGGAATACAGTTCAAGTTCAGCAATCAGGCGCCCACCTAGAGATCAAGGGAATATAATTTAAGTTCAGCAATCAGGCACCCACCTGGAGAGCACGGGAATACAATTCAAGTTCATCAGTCAGGCGCCCACCTGGAGAGTACGGGAATGCAATTCAAGTTCAGCAATCAGGCGCCCACCTGGAGAGCACGGGAATACAATTCAAGTTCATCAGTCAGGCGCCCACCTGGAGAGCACGGGAATACAGTTCAAGTTCAGCAGTCAGGTGTCCACCTAGAGAGCACGGGAATACAGTTCAAGTTTTGGCAATCAGGCATCCAGCTGAAAAGCAAAAGCATCTCAGATTACAATTCAAGTCGGCAACAGAGGGACTTCACCGGGAGAATGCAAGTCAACAAGGCAACAAGAATCACAAGATCAAGTTTGAAGATATAGATAGGGATTTTGTAATTCATAGATCATAGTTTAGTCTAGCTTCTTTTTATTTTGTCATGGTGTAATAAGGGGTCATTAAGCAGTAGCAGCAGCAACAACAACAGTGAAATCACCGCTTCATGGTAGTCCCAGCTACCAAAACTTTCCGAACTACACTGACCTGATTCCTTTATAGTCAGGGATATGTAGGCAACCTCGGAAGCAGGGTGCGGTCAAATCTTAAAAAAATGCTTCCCACGGAGTATTCAAACGGGCAAAAATTGCTCGTATCCACTCACTTTATCTTTGCACGAAAAGTCTTCGTGTTTCCGAGCAAAGAGGGGCAGATGTGAGCACGTGATTTTTGCTCTATATAAATTACTCCCACAAATTCAAAACAAAATAATTGTTTTCCATTGTTTGCAATTTTGTGGATTTTTGTGGCATTTTCTATCAATTATTTGCATTTGTCTGTGCATGTTTATTTTATTTAATTAATAAAAAATACAAAAATATGTTGCATTTGCATTTAGGATTTAACTTTGCATTTTTAAATTAAGTAGTAAATTATTTATTTTATAAGAATTGGAAAAATCATAAAAATAGTTATTTTGCACTTTTAATTTTAATTTTTCTTTAATTTGGTTCTTAATTATTTGTGATAATTGTTATTTGGAGTTAGTTAATTTAATTTGATAAAATAATAGGAATTAATTTGGGTGTCATTTTTAATTTTTACTTAAAAGAAATTAGAAAAAGAAAGTAAAATTAAAAAGAAAAGAAGTAGAGAAATCAGATTTTGGATTGCTTCGTTTTAATTCTCATAGCCCAAGTCAATTAAACTCAATGGCCCAATTACCTTATACCTACCCAGCCCAGATCATTGACCCATTAACCCTTCCCCTCTATATACCCTAAATACACATTATTTGGAGGGGAGCTAAAAAAAATGAGAGAGGGACGCATATAGAGGAACGGCGCAGAAGGACTCCTTTGGAGCTTGATCTTCTTCCTCATCAAAATGAAAAACTCAACCGCTTCTTTTGCTTTTCTCTTGAGCACACAAATCTCTCTTCATATTACACTGCATTTCTCTCAAAAAATACAGTAACGAAAAGTTGTTGAGAATTGACAGTAGCTTAAAAATTCAATTGGAGAGCTGAACCTTCAAAGAACTTTTTCATCACTCGAAAAGCTCGAAATTGGAGTGTTTAGCTGGGTTTTGGGTTTGGGTATAACTCGAAAAGGGGAGTTGTTTGGTTGATGTTGCTCCCACGTTGCTAGCTGAGCTCCAATTTTTTGTTTCAATCGTTATTTGGCTTCTTTGTCTTCTAAATCTCGTCCTTGCGTAATTAGGTACGTTCTCTTTCAAGCTATTGTAAGATCTGTTTTAATGAGAAGTTTCTTGATTTGCCGCTTTTCTGATTTCATTTGTGAACAACGTTGAATGAGTTGCCTGTTTTCGAAATATTGTAAATGCTAACGGTGTTCGAAAGGTTAATTCAAGTTTGTCGTGGCAGATTCCTTATCTAACTAGGTTTTGCTGTTTGAGCTATCTTCATATCCTGGCCCTTTAATGTTAAGATTCGGCTTCATATGAATTGAAACGTTATTAGGAAGTTATATTTAAAATCTTCATTTTTGGTAAATACGATTCCGAGTCGATCTTAAGGATGAGACAGAGTTCGATACTTCACAATTTTTGGAGAAATGGGATTTTCAGCATTGTTAATTTGCTTTCCTTCAACTGATTTATATATGTAACCAAATTGTGAAGATCTTTCGATTTTCTTAGATTGCCAAGTGAAAGACAAATTATCTGAATGTTTAAGGAGTTACATGCCACTGTATGTTTCCATGGTTTCTTAGATAAGTTTTTCTCCTCGAGAGCATAATTAGCACTATTAGCTGTACTATCTAGCATGCCATTCATACTCTAAAATCGTTATTTTGGTTGTTCTAAGAGGTATTTTCGTTGTGCTTGACCAAAGAAGTATCCCATGCGCAAGTGATTAAAATTGGAAATATATCCAATGCCTTTTTGATTTTCTCGCTTATTGACATGTACTGCAAATTTGGATGCATAAGCCAAGGAAAGGCTTTTCAAAAGATATGGCAAGGTTGATAGTGTGGATATGAAATCTAGTTTTGCTTTTGTTTATATGGACGATGATTTCTTGTTAGCGGCATTGGCTTTGTTGTTAGAAAGAATTGAAAAATAAAAATCAAAACAGGCACTGAACTCAAGGATTTTTAAAATGGAAATAGAGTTCTGGGATTAAGAATTAGTAATGGGTGTAAAATTCTGAATCAAAAGATAAGCTTGGGTCTATGGAATTTTTGAGTGGGATTGGAAATAAAACAAAAACACAAATGATTGGAGGTGTGCTATATTAGACAATACAAATAGCATGACCCTCATAATTTAATTTAGAAACCTCTTGATCAGAATATACTGAGGTGCGCCGTGCCAAACAAAAATGACAATTGCATGGCCCTCGTTTAAATAATTTTGCTGGAATCCTTAAAAATCGAGGCGTGCTATTTAGTTGAATTTTCCATGGCCCTCGCAAAGTTGAAAGTGCATAGGTTTTTTAGGCGCGCTATTTTAAAATTACTTTCCTAAACTCGGGTGCGCATTTATGTGACCCAAATCCAAAACTCAACAATGTTATATAAAAGGTGTTGCGGACTACGGGTGCATTTATGTGATGTGGTTCAAGACATATTTTAAATGACGTTGCAAATCTTTCTTTAAAAATGTCTAAAAGCGATTATAAAGCTAAAATTGCATCATAGGTTAAAACATCTATTAAAATCAGATAATAGGCCAATTATAACAGTTGAGCGACCGTGCTAAAATCACGGAATCCGGGAATGCCTAACACCTTCTCCCGGGTTAACAGAATTCTTTACCCGGATTTCTGTGTTCGTGGACTGTAAAACAGAGTCAATCTTTTCCTTGATTTGGGATTTGAACCAGTGACTTGGGACACCATAAAATTATCCCAAGTGGCGACTCTGAATTTTTAATAAAAATAAACCCGTTTCGATTGTCACTTTAAGTTGGAAAAAACTCCCTTATCTATACCCTTCTCGGGAGGTAGTGAAAAAGGAGGGGTGACATATTCAATATTAATTACTAAACTACTGTCAAAATATTTTCTATCTGGACATGATTTTACTATTGCTATGTACTTCTTATCGGCCATATTAATGTCTCTGTTGTATTTTTTTAATAATAATTTCATTACTTGAATATTATATTTGAAAGAATGCGGCAAGAATGTAGAATTTTTCAGGCAAATTAACATGAGTACTTCATTTGGATGTTCATTTTTGTAAAAAGTAGAAACATCTCAACTTATACGCTACAACAACAATATATCAAGTATAATCCCACATAGTAGGGTCTGGGGAGGGAAGTGTGTACGTAGACCTTACCCCTACCTTATGGAGGTGGAGATGCTATTTCCAATAGACCCTCGGCTCAGGAAAGCATAGGTACCACAATAATAACAAGAAAACAAGACACGACAACACCGGAAATCATATAAAAGCAGCATACATAACAAGATAATAAGATGATCGAAATGCAAAAAAAAATACGAAAAAAAAAGGCAAGTAGGGGTGTTCATAAAAATCGGAAAAACCGAACCAAACCGAAAACCAAACCGACCAAAAAAACTGTTACTTTTTGGTTTGGTTTTGAATTTTAAAAACCGATCAAATTTGGTTTGGTTTTGGTTTTAATCAGAAAAAAACCGAACCAAACCGAATATATGAGTAGTTATTTCAAATTTATTATTACACCTATATATATATATATATGTATATTGTTATACACAATTTCAAAAAATTTATAGCAAATGCTAATAGTTTGCACTTTTAATATAGTTCTTTACCTTTACATTCTAGTTTGATTGGTAGTTTTCATTTGTTTAGTGTAAGAATCCATTTCGTATTAAAAATAATATATTTTAATTGAGTCCTTAAATCATTCATCACTATTTAATTCAATTATCATCAATATATTTTGGTAAATAATAGATTTCTCAAAGGGTAATTGATTTGATAGTGTTACATTGAAAATGTGGTCGCCGGAATATATGTTTGGTAGTGTATGTCTTATATTTAAGAAAAAACCAATAAATAACCGAAAAAACCAAAAAACCGACATAAACCGAATCGAGAAAAACCGACTTAATTGGTTTGGTTTGGTTCTAATATTTGAAAAACTGACTTACTTGGTTTGGTTTCTTTTTAGGAAAAACCGATCCAAACCGAACCATGAACACCCCTAACGGCAGGTATTCAAAGAAACATAATACTAACCAAATGCGAGAGTACGTACTAACACTACCGATATAAATAATCTAGACTACCTAACCTACTATTCTAATTCTCGATATCCACACTTTCCTATCTAGGGTCATGTCCTCGGTCAGTTGTAGCTGTCATGTCATGCGTAATCACATCACCCCAACTCTTCTTCAGCCTACTTCTACCTCTCTTAAGGCCATCCAATGTCAACCTCTCACACCTCCTTACCGGGGTGTATGTGCTTCTCCTTCTCACATGTCCAAACTATCTAAGTTGTGTGTCCCACATCTTGTCCTCAATAGGGGGCCACACCCACCTTGTCCGAATAACTTCATTCCTAATCCTATCTAATCTGGTGTGTCTGCACATCCATCTCAACATCCTCATCTCTGCTACCTTCATCTTTTGGACGTGGGAGCTCTTGACTTGCCAACACTCAGCCCCATACAACATAAACGGTTTGACCACCGCTCTATAAAACATACCTTTAAGTTTTGGTGGTACCTTTTTGTCATACAAAACACCGGAAGCAAGTCTACATTTCATTCATCCCGCCCTAATACGATATGTGACATCTTTATCAATCTCCCACCCCTTGTATAATAGACCCAAGGTGCTTAAAACTTCTCCTCCTAGGAATGACTTGTGAATCCAACCTCGCCTCTCCTTCCACTCCATGAGTAGCACCACTAAATTTATACTCCAAGTATTTTATTTTGGTTCTGTTCAACTTGAAACTTTTAGACTCCAGGGTCTGTCTCCATACCTCTAACCTCGCGTTAACACCGTCTCGCGTCTCGTTAATCAAAACAATGTCGTCTGCAAATAACATGCACCACGACATCTCAACTTATAGGCTCAAAATCGAAAATCCATAATATCCCAACCAATTAATCAAAACCGAACTTAAAAAATCTGACCCAATCCGAACTTATTTGGATTGGATTGGGATTGTCATTTCTTCGATCCGAAAATTGAAAATCCAAACCGAAATTCTCATATTCAATCCGAACGGCCTGAATGCCCACCCCTACTCATTTTGATCTCAATTTTTCGAATAAAAAAGTTTACCTTTTAAGAAATGTTATTACTGCTTTAACATGACATACAGAGCCATAGTCATACTCTAAAGTAAATGAGTACGTAAAACAACAGAAACAATTGTATTTAATCAACCATGAGAAGCTTGCACAATATCAAACTTAGAAACAAATATCAACTCCCACTAACAAAGAGAGGCACTTTTGCCTTGGGCCGAAGCTCTCTAAAACATACTACTACAAATTAAAAGAAGGATATCCCTCTGTACATAATAAACCCCAAAAAAATTAAGTTACTTGTAGTTAACTTATTTAGTTATAATGTAAATTCTTGAAACTTAAACACGATTTAAGAAAACTTTCTAGGATTTAGTGAATTATAATGAGGTAGGCTATTGTTATAAGTGACTTGATTAAGTTCTCTTTCGGTATGTCCTTGGATCTTGGTGTTTGACGAAAAATGTCTGTTTTTTCTTCTTGGTTGTGAAGAACGAGGGATGAAAACTCCAGTTCCTTTGCTTGCTCTTCTACTATTCTGCTCATTTACATATGGTGTTCTTATAGCTGGATGGATTACTTGTGAAAATACCTGAAAATTTTCAAAGACAAAGACAAAACAACAAGTTTAATAAAGCTGAAATTTGAGATATAAGGATTAATTTCACTATGGTCATTGACTTCATTCATTTTAACAATAAATAAAGTTACTAAGTCGGAAGATCAAGTTATTAGTTATGGGTCAACATATCATGATTTGCCAATAGCCATGTCTGCACTTTGTCATGCTATAAATTCCATTTTAAAAAATAAAAAAGATTCACGCTGTAAAATTTATCACTACCCATATTTTAAACAGAAGACAATTAACAAAATATATTAATGAAACAAAAGAGATGATTATAGTAGTTATAGAAGTATAAAAGTTGTTTACTTTCCCTAATTTTATCTTTTTTTAGAATATATTTTTATATCTCCCTTTGATAATATTTTGGTCTATTGTCAGTTC